GCACAAATGCCTATATTATATGCCAGTATTCAAATGCGTATATCAAACCAGGTCATCCATCAAGGAGACCGCCATACAAAAACAATGTCAAAACAAACCTAGACATAAGAAATCAAACATAGGAAAGATAGGTAAGGAGCGACCATCGTCCGGTAGCGACCGTGACTATACTATACAGTTCCATCCCGAGTCCCGCCAGGCGGTAATGGTTTCCCAATCCGGAAGCTCCAAGAGTCGCGGCGCCCGTTCATCGTGCCTTCATGCCTCACAGCCTGAGGCCGCCACACCCCCCCCCGGTTGCACATCCGCTCTCTAGACGGGAAATTTCACTCCCGTCCGATCAGTCAGCCGTGGCTGGGATAGGATGCGAGGCAGAGCTCTGGCTTTGGGGTCCTGGTTGAATCGAAGTCGATCTCTCTTCAGGCTGAACAACTTGACCATAGCCCCCATTGCCTGCTCCTCACTCAACTGGATCTTGTCCAGCTCTTTGTCACCCACCCCCTCCAACGAAACGTCCTTGACACACGCGGCCACCATCCAGCGAGCCAGAACCTCAATGTCCCGCGCATTGCTCCAACACGGGAACATCGAAAGAATCTGGATGGCACGGGTGAACTCACGGTGGCTCGGGGTGCGAGGATCGGTCAAGTAGAGTCGAGGTCCGGGGACCTTCTGCTCCGTCAACCGTCGATCCAGCAGTCGCAGACACTCTCTGGGGGTCGGGTTGCGGAAAATGATTTCCTCTTGGAACAGTGCTGCCAGCCGAGGTCGATTGGCGAGCATCTGGTCCATCTCCTGGGCGGGTCCAGCCAGAATCACCACGGTCTGATCCAGATACTGAGGGAGTTGGTAGACGAACTCATCCACCGCCTGCTTTGTGGGTCCCTCCACCTCGCCCAAGCGATGCGCATCCTCGATAAACAGAACCCGACCGCGACTACGGTCGAGTTGGGCCCTTGCGCGAATCGCAGTGGGATACATGTGCGGAGCGAGCAGATCGGCAATCGAACAGGGCACAAGCTCACCATGAGACAACACCCCCATTTTGTAGTAAAGGGTGCCAAGCTCGCGGGCGACAGTCTTCTTCCCTGTGCCTGCAGTCATTGTTAGCATTCAAATCTTATCAATATAGGGTATGAAACTCACCGGATGCTCCCTTGAACACAAATCCGCAAGGCATCCGCTTGCCCGGGTTCAGCCCTTGCATCCAGGTGATCTTCATCTCATGATGATACCGCTTCAGGATGGAAATGATGTCGTCAGGGACAATGGAATGGCGTAGCTCCTCGCGGAAGCCCAAGGCGGGGGTGCCGCCAACCAGCTCGGGGTTGAAGTCTCTTCCCTCAAGTATACGAGGAATTGACTCGCCCTTCGCACCGACGCGGGTTCGTCGCTCGAAGTGATACTGCGCCGCTGCCAGAAGATGTTCGACGGCACGGGCGTGGTCAAAGTCCTGGCGCATACGGGCCGTGTCGAGCATGTCCAAAGCGGCTTGAAAGGCGTCGGGAGTGACATCCAAGTCCTGCTCGCGGAGCTTGCTATGGAAGAGCTCTTCTAGATGGTCGCGTGTAAGGGGTGCGAAGCGCACAAGCTGAGTGTCAAGAGCGCGACTCAGACGTGAGTGCGATCCGGTCTGTTGCAGGATGCGGCTAACGGCATCTTGTGCGCCGACCACAACGGTGCAGTGGTTGTCCCGTGGGATCCACAGATCCTCCAGGGCAGTCGCGTCCAGCGCAGTCTGACCCTGAGACAACTCCTGACGGTCGGCATCGATGTCGATGACAAGGACATTCCCGTTGTTGCTCGCAACAAGAGAGCGGATACTGTCTGCATCGAGTTGCGAGAGAGCTGACCAAGGTTTGACCCGAACTGTAACATGTTAGTACATATTGTTCTCATCAGGAAATTTGACTTACCCTCTCCGTTTGTCAACAGTCCTAACTCGAGGAGTATCTGCGCATACAACCGAACCGCCGTGCTCTTTCCAGTGCCAGGTGGCCCGGCAAAGATGCGATTCACCCTGAGAGGCAGACGGCGCTGGTTGCGAACCTCCCGGTGGTAGTTCTCCTCTGTAATATCAAACACCTCGGTGATCGACATCTGTAGGGAGTCCTGACCGACCAACTTCTGCACAGCCGCCCATGCCTCGCTGTGGGCGCGTGTTTGCTCTGGTCGTGGGCCTAGCAGATCGTCCTTCGAGAAGAAGAAATAATCCACTTCATCCATACCACTGTCTTGCTGATCCGCTAGGCAGTGAGCCTGGCGCTGCGCGACCGTCTTGACTAGCTCACGGACGGCGTGGGCGTTCGTGAAGCCCGACATGGCGCGCCCGCGCGCCAGTCTTCGAGCTGCAGCCTGAACGTAAGGGCCATCGAGACCGCCTTCAACCTGCATGCGGCCCTGGTATTCAATCACAATGCGACGAGCGAGAAGTTGAGCGAGGTCGCTACGATCAAAGTCATAGAATCGCAGTGTGCTGCAGATACGTTGCTGCAGGCGCGGGTGATCGCGCAGGAAGGTCGTTAGTGACGTCTCCTCGCCAGCGAAGATCACCACTATGCGGCCTGTCTTGCGCTCGAGAGCCTGCAAGACACTTGCGAGGATCTGCTCTGTTGCTTGGGACGAGATAGACTCTCCTAGCATGTGTGGTTGGTCGACGATGAGAACACCGGCTGTGTGGGCCAACGAGTTCGCGTCAGCGATGCGGTAGATCATCTGCTTGGCCCCGTCCGGTCCTTGGCTGGCGAGGTCGAGCCCAGTCGTCTCACAGACAGTTTGTGAATCGCAGATGCCAAGAGCATAGAGCATCTTAGCGTAGATGCGTGCGACGGTAGTTTTGCCTAGAAAGGTCAGTGACAATTCGAACGACCCAATTAGATAACCAGAGATAACTCACCCGTGCCTGGATTACCCACACAGGCCATGTTGTACCACTCATTCTTGGGGTCGCGACCGTGTCGCCGACAGATCTGCACCCAAGTCTGCACACCGCGCAACTGGCGCTTGACGTTGTCGTGGCCGACAAGGCTGTCCAGCTCATCAAGAGCCTCTTGTCGTGCAGTTTCGCGATCCAGGTGGTCGCGCTCCGCCAGCTCCTCGGCGGTTTGTTGAGGATGTTCGACCATGACGGGTGTTTCGGGCGGGGAAGGTGGAAGCTGGGTTTGTGTCGGTGTTGAGGTTTGGATCTGAAGCTGCGGTCGCATCTTAGCTGATTGCGGGGTTTGTGTCTGTGTCTGTGTCTGAGTTTGTGTCGATACTGATTGCTGTGGCTTCTTCGACCATAGCGAGAAGGGGAAGAAAGGAAATCGAGATGTCGCCGATGGGCGAGTCATCGAGCAGTCCATGCTGCGCAAAGGTTTGAGTAGTGGTGATAGCAGCTTCACAACGATTGGAAGCATATGGAGAGTGTTAAGAATCACAAGTTCGGATCTTTCAACAGTCAGTCAGGGGTGTGTAGGAGAATTAAGTCTGGGGATTGTTGGCCGTGGACCATGGTTATTATACTCTGGCCGACGTTCGCTGGGCAGCGAAAATCGCCGAGGTGAAGCCAGGCAGGTCATCGTCGATAGCACTGAGTTGGAGACCTATGACAGGGCGACAGGTAGTGAAGTGAGTGGTTGGTTCTTTTCCCCGTCGGTTGTCAAAAGTGAAGCCATAGATTCACCGCCACTTCAGCCCAACATGAAGAAGACGGACGGTGGTACAATGGCCACACTTCCAGGAAGACAACTTTCGAGGCACCAACGAGTCTATGGTGATGATACAGGCCTAGAAGACCACAACCAATCCCTTTCCTATACTCTGAAACACGGGCAAGTTGAAACAGCAGGGCAAGGACCAGCAGGCGGCCTGTTAGGAGGCATGAGTTGGAGGGGATGTCTGGAGATGCACCAAAACCGCCGGGCCGCATTAGGCGGATGTGGTGATCTGGCTTGGCTGCGCTGGGCCTATCATATCCGTCAAGGTGGCTGCCGATCATTCCCCCGGGGAACCTCGCCTCGGCCAACTTGCTGCCTATATTATTTTGTCCCTGTCGATGTGGCTCGTCTGGTGAGGCTTGCTCCATGGATGCTGGGTGTAGTCATCCAGTAATGCGACCAACCAGGCAAGCGATCGCGTGGCATAATTCCACGATATGCACCGCGTGAGAGGGGCTGCTTCCCTGCTTTTTCTTGCCCCTCTCTGAGAAACGCCGATAAGAGCACTGCCCCCGCCTCATTGATAGTAGTCATGGCGCGCTTGAATCCAAGATTCGCTCCCAGCAACACTGCCTCGGTTCTGGTCTGAACAACACCACAACAGTGGATATCCCACGGAACTGGAAAGGCTGCCCCGTCATCCTTTTGCGCCTAGTCAGTCTGATTGGGCGGTCCCTGAACTCGACTCCTGACTAGGTTGCGGAGCCCAATTCCCCACGGCGATCGCATCGTCTGGCGTCAAGCGCGGTTGATGCTCTCAACTTCCACTGCTCTATCCATCGTAGTTGGGTGCATTACCGTAGTACCTGAACAGTCGTAGGAGCTTCATGGAGAGCACATGCCATCTCCAACATTCGTCATTCTCCAGACAGAAGCAAGCAGCGGCAGATGCGCTGCTTGCTATTCCGAGTAGATTTCATGGTTATGAGCACCTGATTTCTATTTGAACAATTTAATGTATAATACTTGACCAAACTGCTCCACCCCATCCCCAATCGCTCCCATTGCTCACCGATATCACCAAGTCCACCGTGGTGCGGTCCTGAGTGTGGCATATTGCTCACCGCCCGACTCCTTCTAGATGTCGCTACTGAGGCAGTCCGCAACCTCTCACTACTTGCGGATTCTCACACCTCCACTCTCCACTACTCTCATCTCTTCCATCTTCATCCCATCTCTTTCCGATCCACCAAATGTCCATTGAGTTCTACATCAACTCCAAAATCTTCGATCTGCAACTAGGACCTCGATTCATCGAATCCTACAGCGCGACGAAGACAGCTGTACAGCTAAGTGGCCACCAGTCTCTTCACACTCTGAGCACCAAAATCTTTCTCAAAAGCATCGCCGCCTTGAAATAATGACTAACGTGTGCATGAATCTCGAGCCATAATTTCCTTATGCTCGAATCTGAATTTCAACCAGCCTGTCTCTACACCTGTATGCGATCCGAACCATGTCAGCATTCTGGCGAGTCCCTTTCACTTCCAGCCCCGGTCAGTCTCAAAGCACATATCCAATTCTCTCTTGCGGCTAATTTTACAAGTAGATGTGTCCGAGTATTCGAGAGAGTGTGACACATTCACCAGTAAGCCGTGCAGAGGTCCTTTGCCCAACCCATATCAGTTGCCAGATCGATTTACAAGGTAAAAGGCTGCTCAACACGTCATACCAGACTGGCTGATCCACTTCCATCACAAAGTTACCTTGTCTCATGATTAGTCTCGATAGTCCATGTAAGGTATGTCCTCTAGGCTTCATTCTCTTCCTTCCACTTTCTCTTTCTCCCGCTTTGGCCTCCGCACAACCTTTCCTGATTCAATCTACCTTCTCTGCATGTCCTGGCGTTCTTGTCTGCCAAATAAACCATTCATACTTTGAGCCATTTTCACGATCAATGCTTCCATCAAAAGGGGCATCTGGTAAGAAAGACGATTCCTGTATGCACATGAGCCTTCTCATCGTCCCATAATCTTATATTCTTTGCCTTATCTTGGAAGCTGCTGACAACGGATCTTTTCAGCTCCCGCAACTTTAAGTACCGTCATTTTTGCTCCACACCGGCTCAAGAACGTCACCCAGATCCGTCGTTCCGAGTCCCGGATTTCTTCATCAACGGGGCGCGAGTTGAAATTTTCAAGTAGGCCGTGTTACGATCGAAGCAAAGTCACGTATGCACAATCACACTACTAGAGTCTCTGGTTCTCGTCACTTTAGAGCCTTCAATTGAACTCGGTGGCTGACAGAAAGCCTTGAGGTTTTATTATAGGGGTATCCTATCCACCGAATAGTCACGAGCACGGCACTCACTACCGCTACTTCAAGTCTGCTGTTTGCGTTGTCATTGTACAAGTACTGACGTTGGTTACACTTAGCCTTACTTCACCATGTTTACTGGTTTCTTCGGCAAGGCTGCGGCCACGGGGGGTAACCAGGCCCGAGAGGGGACTGCTCCCGTGGTGGACAGCTCTTGTGAAGCGCGATCTTCGGTCCTCCCAACAGGCCTTCGGGATGAGGGGCTTCTTGCTGTCGGGGGTGTGCAAGACTCACCAGCCGCCCCCAAAAAAACGAGAATATAGGAGAAAGAAAGGCTGAATTTGATCACTCGTTTCAGGGTGATGTCATGAGACTATTTGACCAGGGCTACGAAGGGTCCGCGTACGCGGTGAACGGCTTGTGAGGCACGGACTCCGGTCCTCCCGATGCCTTCAGGCTGAGGGGCTTCTAGCTGTCCAGGGTGTGCATGGTTTACCAACCACCCTCCAAGTTCAGGAAACGGGTGGATGAAATGATGAGTTGCTCTCACCATACTGACTTGGTTAGTGTGGCTCGCGGGAGCCAGAGACCAGGTCCAGGGGGTGTCTACTCGGACAGTCTTGTTGGCATGGACTCCGGTCCGCTCAATATGCCTTTGGGCTGAGGGGCTTCTCATTGTCGGGGGTGTTTACCTATTGCCCCAAAATCTTGTGACTCAAATGGAAGAAAGGCAAACGTGCGAAACGGGAACACCAGGTCAAGAAAAATTCGATCTAGGAGGAGCAATAAGTTCCCGCGTGTCGGCGGGTTCAAGGGCCATGACGATTGTTGAAGTGAAACTCCAATCCACGAGTAAGAACAAGGGGCACCATAAGAGCCATTCAAGCAAACAGCCGGTCCACCAGGGAGAAAGTCCCGCGTCTCGGCGGGTTCAAGGACCAGGAGAATTGTTTGAGCGATCAGCCGGTCCAGAAGCAAGAACAAGGACTCGCGTGTCTGCGGGATCACGCGCCATGACGATTGTTGATCTGATCCACGAGTAAGAACAAGGAGCACCATGAGAACTATTTGAGCAAACCACCGGTGCACCAGGAAGAGCAAGTCCCGCGTGTCGGCGGGATTAAGCGCCATGGCGATTTTTGAAGCGACAAGAATGAGGTCCCGCGTGTCGGCGGGTTCGAGCGCTATCATGATTGTTGAAGTGAAAACCCGATCACTAGCAAGAGCGAGATCTGAGCGCCGTGATGATTTTACATTGCCCGTTGCACGAGCTAGTACAAGGTCTGAGCGCTATGATCATCTCTATGTGAGTGCCTGTTGCATAATAAAGAATGATGCCCCTCGTGTCCGGGAGCAAGCTTCATGGTGATGGTTGAAGTGAATACCCAGTCCATGAGCAGGGACTTGATCTGAGAGTTATGATGAGTCTTTAAACATGCCCATTGCAGGAGCAAGAACAAGATCCGCCATCATCAACAGAATCATGCGCTACGAAAATAATCAGTCAGATGATTCGCTTTCCTCTCTGCAATGATTCTGGTAGTCATCGTCCAGGCTCGTACTATTCTGATTGATCGTTACGAGATAATTCAACCTAGCGAATGGGGTCGACAACTAGAAACGAAAGCCCCCGAGTCGCCCCTTTGAAGGTCTATCAAGAATACCCTCGCTGTCTTACATTTTCCTACACGAATGATCAATGACAGGTTGGCTTCTCTCTCCGTTTGAATAGCTTGCTCCGAACTCTTATGCAGCAGAGATTTTCAAAGTGCGGATCTAGCTTGGTGTACCCATACGAGCCTAGAGCTCTACCGCGGATACTACCGCCTCTGGTGCCGATCCTGCTACCATTTGAGAGGCCAGGTTCAGAGGGACGAAGATCATGGAGGCCGAGCCTTGCTTACCATATTTTCTCAGAAACAGTCGCTACGAAGACATCATCGGAGATGATTTTCGTGGTGGTTGCGGAATACTTATCCACACTTTAATGCCTGACAGTGGGATTGATTGAGTGAAATGAGTCTATTAAGTCTATATCCTATATCCCAGTTTGTATGTATACTTTTAAGCTGCAATAGTCCGAAGGGTTGCGAGAAGAGAATGATGAAACGAACGAGGATTAAGCATCTTCCACCCCCTTTCCACCGCGCCGCCCCTTCTTCAGAGTGTGAAGTACATACACTATACTCGTCAGCAGGCCCAACCCGCCTAAACCGATCCCCATATAAAATGCGCCGCGGTATCCTACCAACGTGTCATGGAACGTCTTCCCGCCGTTGTTCACATGCACCTCGACGGTTCCCGCGAACCCCAGACCTAGCGAGATACTGTAATTCACGATCGTGCACACCAAAGACGCCGCAACGCCCTGGTGCTCTCTGCCCACGGCGTCGCTCAGCACCACCGTCGCAGCAGGGAAGGACATGTCCATCCCGAAGGGGATGACGATGAGCGTAACGAACGAGAGCGCCCAGTACGTCTGATGCACGGGCATAATAGCTGAGAATACATTGCCCAGAGTGAACGCCACCATCGCCATGACCATGATCCAGCCGGGGTGCAGGCGACTCAGCAGGTGGCCCGTGGAGAATGCGGCGATAATCCCCATAACTGTGGGCGGGAGAAATTGCACGGATGCAAGAATGGGGTGTACCCCGCGGATGTCCTCCAAGAACCGCCAGAAGTAGTAAATCCAGATACCGAAACTGGCCCAGCCGCAGGCGATGCAACCCAGAATAAACGAGACGTCCACATTCAGGGCATGGAACGGGATGAGCGGGTTGCTTGAGAAGCCGATCTCCCAGATGAAGAATCCTGCAATGATCAACAGGCCGATGATCAGCAGGATGTACACGTATGGCTGCTCCCAGCCAACAACAGGGGCTTGGTTCCAGGCGATGTTGACGAGGACAAGGCCCGTGACGCCCAGGGTCGCGCCGATGAGGTCCATCTCGGCGCAGAGGGCGCGGAGGGAGAGGGTGCGGATGCGTGGATCAGTGGGCTCGGGCGGGATTGCGTAGATGCCCAGGATGGCCAGCACGAAGCACCAGATGGCCATCGACCACCAGATCCACGGCCACCAGGCGAGTTGGGCGAAGACGGCGGCGAAGATGGCGCCGATGACGGAGCCGTTGGGGGCCATGGAGCCGAACAGGGCGAAAACCATGTGCTTCTTCTTGCCGGGGCGGTAGGTGGCGCCTAGAATGGCCAAGCCATTCGGGAGCAGCATGGCAGGGCCCAGTCCTTGAAGGGTACGTGCGAAGATGAAGAGGATATAGTTGGAGTAGACGCTCACGCCGGCGACCATGGACCAGAGCGCGAACCAGAGGAAGCCGATGATAAACATAAGGCGGTACCCGAAAAGATCACCTAGTCGGCCAAAGAAGAGGATGAAGGTGCCGACAGTAAGCGAGTAGCCTGCAATCAGCCAGCTCAAAATACCCGGCTGCATGATGTTGAGCCCGTCGCCGATAATGTCCAACGGTGCAAGACACACTCCCAGCGCGGCTTGGGTCATGAACTGTGCCATGCACACCACTAGCACGAAGATGAGCTCATGGATTGGATTCCAGTGGTCTGCAGCCGAGCGCATGGATTCGGTCCGCGTGAGGTCGGAGTCCTGTGGACGTTCATCTTCACTATCTCCGTTGAGGGAGTGCTTGGTCGAGCTCGACAGCGACATCTTGCGGCCTGGAATATCAGGCAGTGAGGCGGGATCGCTCCCGATGTCGGATCCACGAGGCAAATTGAAGCTGTTTTCGATAGGGCGCGCTGATTCTAAGCAGGACGACCCTGTCAGATATAAGAATATTGACTACGTTGAAGAGGTGAATTCCGACTCGGAGCAGAGTCAAATCCAGGTCGAAAAAAGCTGGGATCGAAAGGGCTGAAGTAAGAAGTCATCCAGCATCCAAGTGGGAGATGTGGGGCATGTGGGACTCTTGCAGCAGTGGGAAAGTGGGAGCACTTCAAGAGGAGTACGCGTGAGTGAGGTGGAAGGGAACCCCCTGACTCAGGTGAGGCAAGGAAAGCAGACTTCTCTTGATAGCATATGAATTGATGTTCAGGGTCACCTGGTGTTCGCCATCGCAGGCTTGAAGTCCTCATCGGATTACTGGCCAGTGACATCACGGATGGAGGTTAATTGAGATAAAGACTCATCCTAGACCTGAATTGACCACTTCCTTCGCGGGCCCCACTACCCTTCTTGGATGGCAAAATCCAAGGGTCCGGCCACTGCAATCTGCAATTGCAACATTATTGATTTTTGCAAACCCAAGAGAGCAGGCAAGAAGTCCTCTTTTAATCTGGAGCGGTCAGCAAGAACCTCGAGCAGACTGTGTACAGTATCTGCATGTGGTGAATCTGCCCTTTGCCAAGTGACTCGGGTTCACATACCGACAGGATATATATTGCGTGGGGACGGAGAGTAGGATGCGACCGAGCCAATTGTCGTAAAATGGTTACCGAAGTTGATAAACACACCGGAAGCAAGGAGGAGAAGCATACAGTACCTCACAGAGTCGCACACCTGATCAATATCACCCTGTACGTTGGTATATATCGAAAAAAGAGCAAGGCAGCCCGCATTGCCCTGTAGATACTGATCTTCAGCTGAAAGGTTGCATCTGCGGGCGCACTGCACCTGCACGGGGCACGCACTGATGGGGACCCGTGACGGCGGCGGGAGCCACTTCCTAATTCGCCTCATACCGCGGCCTGAATACCTGAATCTCTTGTTGCCCTGGGGCCTGAGGCGGCAAGTCGGAGACGGAATGTCCGGAAAGGGTCTAGTCGCGGTCACGCGAGCTAGGCCAAATATTTCTCCACGTATCATGGCGGACAGGCAACTGTACTCCGTACTCTGCAATAATGAACTTCCCTGCGAGTAACTTACAGCTCAGCTCATCACAACAAATTGTCTGCGCGCACGCGAAGTACCGGCAAGCTGGTTGATCATGTTTCAAGCAACCAAGCTGCGGATATGCTATACCTGTTGTTCTCCAATATTGCTACACCCATGATTGATACTCTTTTTCGAGCCAGGACATCGGTCAACCACTGCGATGATGTCATGCTCACACCGCCGGCGGTGAGTGACAGGAAACAGTCTCCTGCATCAGGATGAGGTACGGCGACATTTCTGATTCGCGCTAGGTACATGTCTTGATCTATTCTAACAAGTCTAGCTCATCAGGGCATCTCCCCCGCTTAGACCATCTCATCATGCGCCGTCTCCACTCCCTTATCCCCTGCCTCTACCCCACCGGTCTTCTGTCGTTGACGCTCAATCTCATCGCCGAATCGGTCGGGTAGCCGCGAAGTCTTCCAGGCCGGCAAGTTAGCCTCGAACATTAGATCAATGTCCTCCAGAGAGCGGCCAGCTGTCTCCGGAAAGGTGAAGAAGATGTGGATGGTCATGACCGTGCAGAAGACTCCAAAAATGATATATGTCTTCCACTGGATGTTCGTGAACGCTGGCGAAACAAAGTAGGCTAGCGCGAAGTTGAAGATCCAGTTACCCGCCGCCGATAATCCGACACCCTTGGCTCGGTACTTGAGGGGGAACACCTCCGAGGCATAAATCCATCCAGCAGGGGCCTATTCGTTGTCAGAATGGTCCAGCATTTGCACCTGGTTATCGACTTACCCAAGTGAGGCCGTAGATACCGACGAAGATGTATGAACAAGCGATGACACCCTTGCCAGGGGTACCGGTGATCGACCACTTCAAATTCGAGTTGCCATCCACTGAATCGACGTGGTGACCGTAGCTGGCCATGATACCCGCAATGGCAAAGTGGAGGGCCATGCAGAGGATGGAACCGGTCATCAACAAAGGTCGTCGACCAATCCGATCGATGTATGGCAGAATGACACCGGTCGTCACCAGGAAGATTACATATTGAATGGCTGATGAGTACAGTGTCGTATTGCCGGTCTGGTGGTCTTTGAGTTAGCTGGGGATTGACCCACAATCAGCATCGATTCTTACCATTCCTGCCATGTCAAAGACATAGACAACATAGTACATAGCAACGTTGCCTCCGAGCAATTGCTGCCAGACCTGCGCACTCACACCACAAACAGTCCGCTTCCAGATTTTCGGGCCAAACAGGGCCAAGAAAGAAACGTCCTTGGCCTCCTGGGCAACCCGCACGGCCTCTTGCACCTCCTCATACTCAGCCTGGACAACGGGATCACTGCGGTTTCCTTTGCCATGGATTGCGGCCAATGTGTCTAAAGCCTCTTCCCACCGTTCCTTGCTGGCCAACCAACGGGGCGATTCGGGGAAGAAAGGCAAGGCGACAAGAAGGATCAATGCAGGAACCCCTTGGATACCCCAAGCCACGCGGAAGGAAGCCGGACCAGAAATACCCTGGCCGCAGCCGTATGAGATCAGGTACATGATCAGGATACCCCATTCAATGGCCCATTGCTGGATACCCACAATCCGGCCTCGGATGCGTGCAGGCGCCAGCTCAGCGAGATAGACACAGACTTGAGAGGAAGTGATACCGACTGGAGACGGTTAGCATAGAGTACCTGTGGCCAGGAGGGAGGGTGCTCACCAGCCAACCCACTGATAACCCGACCAACGACTAAGTGTGCAACGTTTTGAGCTGAACATTGGATAGCTGCTCCGACAATCCAAATGCAACAAGCGATAACGAGAGAGTAGCGACGGCCAAGGCGATCCGAAAGGAAACCTGCTGCGAGTGCACCGGCGAAGGACCCAGCGGACATGGAAGCAGTGATCTAGCAAAAGGATCGTCAGCGGAACCCATACGTGTTCAGCCTGTTCAAAGAAGACCTACACCTCCTTGCAAGTTGCTGTCTGGATGATTGAAATAGTCTAAATATTGGTCGGTACCAATCCAGGCACTCATGGAACTATTCCATTCTGTCAATGTCGGTCATTTCTCCGGAACAAGGGAGCGGTCGTACCTAACATCGAAGCCGAACAATGCACCACCGATAGTGCCTAACGCGGCAAGGACTAGGCACAAGTCAGTTCCGAAGCACATTATTGACAATTTCGAAGAAGGCCATACTGTAGATGTTTGTAATGCGATACATGATGAACAATGAACCAGACCGGACTACCTGGAGTGCACCCGGGATAAGGATGCGGAGAGCCGACTCGGGGGCCCCGGACTGGACTTATATACCGATGCACGACCCAGTGCCGAAGTAACGTCCATCCCGGACTCATGCAATTGGGCCGTACGTCATGGTGTCATCCGCGGCGAGAAGACAGGGAAGGAGATAACTTGCAAGTGTTGCAGGTGTCCCGGATGGAGGGTGGTGCGAGACCTGCATGGGGGTGGATGACTTCAAAGAGTAAAGATCATCGGCAGGGAATGCGGAGGTCCGGGGATTTCGGTTGGGGAACGAATCAGACCCGCCTGGGGCAGTGATTTTTCCCCAGTCTCGGTGGAGGCCGTGTTTCCTGCCCAGCCCAGTCGGTTCATTTCTGCCTCGGAGATTTTCCTTCTTCGTGTTGAACCCGTCCTGATTCCCCTCATCATTTAACCGACGGTCGGGTAGACCGTCTTCCTTGACTCCTGCCAGATCCCTGCTACGCATGCCTGACGGAGGATAATTTCCATTCCTCCTGTCGAAGGGAATCCTTGAATTGTCATGAAGACTACTCTCATGGTCTATCATATGGTGGTCAACTCCTCCCGAGCACTCAGTCGTCATGAATAACGGGTGTTGTCCAGTTCGGCACGAGCCGGTCTATGGAGGCTTGTCCGACGCCCACCCGAAGCCTCTTCCGTTGCGCTATGCTTACCATTGCCTGGCGGCCTGGCTGGGCCTGGTCATCTTTATACCGTCGACGTGGCTGATTGGTGCCGACGAGCGGCGCTCTGACGCCACCGTCAAGCCTCTTCATCATAGTCTAATCAAAACAGTCAAGGGCAGAGAAACTCCAACTCTTCACTCGTGGTCGATTAATTGTAGCCTTGTGAGGCTTTGGCTGCGACCAAGACCGGCGATTACGACAGCCGAGTTTCGGCGACAGGACGCGTTGCCGGGATTCTGGGCCGGCAACGGCTCGTTCAGCTGCGCTGCTCTTTCCACGTGAACACGGTCAAACGCCAGTCCGCAATAGTTACAGCCGGTTAATTGTGGTAGCCGAAGTGCTTGGTGTTACAGTCTCGGCGCCTTACGACTTGTTGTTTGTTGCAGGTGTTCTTAGCCAGCAGCATTGGGAAGTCTTCCGAATTGGGCTGATCGAACCTGTACCACACGCCTATCAACGTCTACTTTTGCCTGCTCAGAGGGGTCTGGGTGATAATGCAAGCGGTACACTGATGCGCTGTTATTATCCGGTTGGCTAGGTCGGCCTCACTGCGTTGTTCAGGGCCCTGAGAGAATCTCATTCGAGATGGTGGCAGCTTCCGCCTTGCAGCGACAAATCGGAGTGAGAAGACAAACAGCAAGAAATTACCATAGCCCCGAGACGTCAATTTGAACGCGATCGTCGGATCCTATGGTCGAATGCGCGTGTCAGGGTAGTGAGGGTCTCTTAGTAAGCTTTCTCAAGTCACGCAAAGAGTGTTTGCTGAATTCCACTGGGACTAACTCATGCATTTCATCAATCCACAGTGATCACAAGCTCCTAAGCACCTATCCAAACCAAAGAAGGCCTTTTCGATCGATCCTAGAAGCATCTTCGTCTGACGTGGTCCATTCCGCGCACTCCATAAGAAAACGCTTCTTTTCTGAGGTCTTCATCGTTGATATGCAATGTGCACCGTCGAAGGTGTCTCATTGCCCAACCCACAAGTAGCATATCATCTGCTGTATTTGGATTCCAGCAATCGGCCAGTGACACGGGAAAGGTGCTGTTTCTCTCCGCATCGTACCGGTATTATGCCTTCATGGCTTTCACTATACACGGGAGTGTACTCGCCCATCTCAGAAGGTGTTCGGTTGCATACATGCGAGAATGATACCCAGATCAACGGAGATGATTTAAAGCGCTGAAATGTCGGACTTGATCTGTGACGAACAGCGCTGTCAGCATTGTCACATGATAAAGGATCTCATATGACTCACTGGACCAGAAGTCGGAAAATCGTCGTTGGTTGCGTCTACTGTTATTGGCAAACGCCTTGAAGCGTCTGGTATTCAACAAGGCCTCGAGCAACACTCGCAAGTTTGCCATGATCAAAGAGTACGATTCAAGCGATCGGCAAACTGTACACATATCTTTCAATATTCGCACGACCACTGTTGGGACTTTCAAGACTTCGTGCTTGAGAGCCAGGAAAGGCGCTTGGTTTCGATGCCATGACGCCAAAGAGAAGACGATATTTCCGGATGCGCCAATCACGGTCCTAGAATGCTTACTGCGTGGGACCAAAGCCGAGTTGAATAAGTGGCCAGAGCATGATTTGCAGGCCTGAAAAGCAACAACATCTGAACATTTCGCCCGCACCTGAAGACCAAGCTTGCCGCAGTGTATTAGAACTCAATAGTTCTCAAGCAGGTCTTTTGTGGCGCTTGACGCCAATCGTGTCTTTTTGAAAACATCGCTCAACATTTCAAGTGAGTCTGAGTTGAAGACAACAGTAGCCGACTGAGAGCTACGATTATGAAAAGACAACCCCCCTTCGCTGATCGTGCCTAGAATCGATTGAATTTGGTCCCCTTGTGCCGACTGGAGGGTTACTCAGCACTTAGAAAGAGCGCCTGGTCTGGACCTCAGGCGGGTGAATGTAAGGAGATACCCAAATGCCGTCCGGTATTCAGGCAAGCACGCTACGCTCCGCTTCGAAGGTCAATCACGACCTGGGGTGTTCTCGTTGGCTGCTACAGTACATTCAGAGATTACGGCAGCATACGAAGATGTTTTGACCGTGTCTCGCTTAAGAGATCGAGTGTGTTCATTTCTCCTTTGCAGTGGCAATTTAGCGGTGAGGGGTCTGCCCACATCCAATGAAGGCATGCTACAGTACATGTAGTCGGGGAATAAGTGGACGACAAAGCCGTGCGCAGGCGATCAGTAACGTCAATCCTCCCGAGACTCTGTTCGCCTATTGGCAACCTAATCTGTGAACCATTCCCCAGCACGATTTCTGAACCTATGGATGAACTGGCGGGAAGTGCAACAATTAGACTCGACCTGGATCTGGGGAAATTCTGGGGATGAGATACTGGTGCCGGATTCGGACAGGTCTCCACAAATCCCACCATTTGGAGGACCCAGACCGCTCGGTTCTCTTCCGGATTTACGGTGAACATTATCCGAGAGGTTCTCGTGAGTTTAGTCGTGTATGCGACCGTGGGAAGTCAACGCATCGGAGCTGCTTCTCGGCCAGACTATGGGGAGGCCGACCCGTGCCGTTACCTCGACGATCGCTAGTCCTCGATGAACGACAACGTAGAACCTCAATCTGGCCAGTTCAGCAGTGCAGAGGCATGATTGACCTCTTCGCCACGTGCAGGACCATCAGACGCAAGGAGAGATACCATTAGGCTGAAGTGAGACGAAGGAAACGATAATGAGCTTGCCTGATCTGATTGCCTTTCCATACGCTCGCTCAACAATAGCTGTGGACAGGGGTTGTGCTTCACACGCATAACAATGCACTGATCAAAGAATAGGGGGAATAGCACAATCTCCGGCGATATCCGGGAATTGTTTATCTGGCCTGACGCCATTCCGGGGTAAGAGTGAGCGATGCTATCGCGCCAATCCGGCGCCGATCACCTGCACCAAATGCTGCAATTGGTCCAGCATGGACTCGATAGCTTAATCTCGCGGGCCCATTTGATTATAGTTCGCAGCACCGGTGCGTTAGGCTCGCACCACCACGTCAGATTCACCCGCAGACTGGCAGAGCTTTACGCTTGGCCGCCGATAAGCCCTGGAAACCCCTCTCCTGGTCCGCGACGGCCCCCATTTCCCGTCCTATTCTTATCTTCGAAAGAAATAGAGTATCTGTACTCCACATCACAGGTCTACTCTAGTCGCTGGAGACAACAGGTTAAAGCCATAGACATTGGGCTGTGTCGAATAGGCCCAGATGCTGTCTTGCTTTAACCGATATGCCTATTGCATTCCTCGCCTGTAAGGGATGGACAGACGCCACCTCTACGACAGTATTGATTTCAAGCCACGAGTGCAGCATGAGGGTGCAGCCTTTGACGGTCGAACTGGCCGCATCCGGGTGGCTATCCCGACTGGCCGTGAAGGTCATCTGTTCAACCTAGGCCAGCCCATCGAGTCGATGTAACATTCCCCAGATGCTGGAGAGATGGCGACACGAGCCGGTCTTACTTAGAGCCGATAACAGCTGTCTTCTGATTGTACCGTGGCCAAGAGAGCCATTAAATGAGTGGCACAGGCCCTGCGCCTTCTGATACCGTGTGATCGCCTATTGGATGGGCATCGCGGTGGTTATCAGTTGAACTCGCAGGATCCTCGCTCCTGCCTGTCTTCCAGAAAATTTCGCTAGTCTTGCTTGCAGCGGACAAGCCGATGGGGCAAATGTTGACAAACCACTGAACACCACTTGACTGGAAGCTGCGATAAGATTCTTTATCTACCTGTTAGCCTTCTTCCTGATAGCGAACCATACAGAGTGGGCTGAGTGAGTGTGTCTTATCTGTTGTTTCAATTCGCCCCCTGCACCTCCTTCATCAAATTGACTTCAGCTTCTCGGAGATTGCAAGCTGACCTCACTAGGTTACACGACATCGACGGACCAGTCTTATATCAATCCTCCGTTGTCCGCCCGATATTATACGCGGTTCTCCTTTGTCTTTTCTTTTCCTTCTTCCTATTTCTTTGCGCGTATACACACTCTCCTCCGTCGCGGTCATTCATGATGGACGACCACAGCAATGCACCTGCGTACGAGACATCAAGTTCCAAGGAGAAGCATCTCGAGCCCACTGGCGACTGGGCCTCTCCTGACGTCGACCATGGCGCCGAAACCGAATTGCACCGCTCGTTGTCGACGCGTCACCTGACTATGATTGCGCTCGGCTCCTCCATCGGTATGGGATTATGGCTTGGGAGTGGAACTTCTCTAAGCAATGCTGGCCCGGCAGCGCTTTTTATTGGCTATCTCCTCAGTTGTACGATGATCTGGGCTGTCAGTCATTCGATTGGAGAGATGGCAGTCATGTATCCATTGCCGTCCGCGTTCACGCAGTGGACCTCGATCTTCATCGACCGGTCAATGGCCTTTTCCCTTGGCTGGGCATACTGGTTCTCCTACTGGATCACAATCGCCAACGAGCTGCAGGTGTGTTGCTCTTGCTGTGTTGGATACACAGTTCACTGATTATTGAATGTGTAGGGCGTTGTTACTGTGCTTAGCTTCTGGACGACCAAAGTGCCTACAGCGGCCTGGATCACTATATTCTGGATTGTTATCATTGCCGTCAACGTTGTGGCCGTGAGATTCTTCGGAGAGGTCGAAGTTGCAGCCTCTACTATCAAGTTTGGCTGGATTTTTGTGGTGATTATCTCGTGTATCGGTTAGTGGTTCCGGTTCCTCTGTGGCACAGTACACTATCCTGTTCCGCGGCTCACTTCCATAGTCATTTCGGCTGGTGGCGCTCCTGCTGAGGGTCCGATCGGGTTTCGGTACTGGAACTCCACGCCCTTCATCAACGGCTTCAAAGGATTCCTGTCCATTATGCCTACGTGTATCTTTGCAATGAGGTATTTACCCCCTAGTATCTGGATATACTTCAGGATAGCAAGGACTGGTCTTGAAACTTTCCCATACTGCCACTATCTCTATACCTAGCTGACCCTTTTTTCTTGATAATAAGTGGTTCAGAAAACGCTGCTTTGGTAGCTGCTGAGACTGATAATCCACGCAAGGCTGTCCCTCGAGCTGTCGGGTCCATTTGGGTTCGCTTGTCTCTGTTCTACGTTCTGGGCTCCCTGATGGTCACCATCACCGTCTCTCCCTACAACAAGGACCTTTTCGGTGGCAGCGGCGTTAATGCTTCACCCTTTGTTATCGCCTTCCGCAACGCTGGTTTGGAACCTCTAGCTCATATCATGAACGCGGTGATCTTCATCTCAGTTTTGTCGACCGGTAGTATCTCTGCCTATGGTGGCTCGCGTACTTTGATGGGCTTGACACATCTGAATATGGCTCCCAAGGTTAGTGCCTTCCATTCCTTTCCTTCTATTCTGCGGCGCTAGCGACTAATATGATCATCTGCTCCACCCGGTCAGATCTTCGGCAAGGCCGACAAGCAAGGCCGCCCGATTGCAGGAATGGCCATAACCCTCCTCATTGGAGGCGGTCTCGCTTACCTCAACGTCTCTAACTCCGGCGCCAACGTCTTCACTTGGTTCTCAAACCTGACTTCTCTCTTCACCCTCTTTGGCTGGGGTACGATATGTCTGTCGCACCTCCGCATGCGCTACGCCTGGAAGGTCCAGGGTCGATCGGTCGAGGATCTCCCCTGGAAGTCGTGGACATACCCCTACGGCGCCATATGGGGTCTGGTCTGGTGCATCATCCTCATCATCGCGGAATTCTATCTGAGCGTATGGCCCCTGGGCGAGAAGCCCAGCGCCAAGAATTTCTTCGCCAACTACGTCTCTGTCGTTGCCATCGTGGTCCTGTACCTGGCGGCGCGATGCTACTACCGCGGGCCGTGGTGGGTGGATGCTCGCACGATTGACCTCGACGCCCCGAGACGGTTCTACGTAGATGGGCATGATGTCGAGACTAGGACGGAGCGGAAGGGGCCGACGAAGTATCTTCGTAAGGCAGTGGATGCCGTGTTTGATTAGAGAGGTAGGTGGTTGTACAGAATGTACATTATCATAGTTGATTCGTGGAGTTCTATCAACTGTCATTTCTAGCAGTGGGACTTGTGATACTCGTATAGTTAGCGTACCATGCGGCATGAGAGGACGTTTGTAGTAGTCAAAGGTATGTGAAGGTCTAAAAGTTGCTACTTTGTTGAAATCATGCCAGAATGGGAATAAGTGATATAAGCCCCTTTCATTACTCTATCCCACCTTTTTACTTCCCATGTAGTTTACTTCTGCCATTGTATGCTCTGTGTCAGCTCGGAAGACAGGTAGCATCATGTATTGATGGTATTGTTACAAGCCAGTATCAATCATTAGAAGGTAGGGTACTTGTATGAGGACTGCTATCAAGTAACTGAAGCTCAAGCGAAGAATCCCTAGTTCAGTGCTCTGAAACCATATGGTGCTCATCTCATTCGGATAACCTCAGCTGGTAGGAATTTATGGAGAAATGGTGTGCATGCTGGTTTGCCCGCCTTGTTAATAGGGCGCCCACTTCATGAGACCAGCAGGGCCTGCATCTGCCCATTCTCGGCCCATACACTCACTGCTTGTCAAATCCATTATTCTTCTTCCTTCCATGGTCTTCGTAGAAGATTGTGACCGAGAAAGCACTTCATTGTCTTGTCTGCCAATAGTCTCAGGGCTCAAGACGCCCATAGTAGAGAAGATTCATACCACTCTCCTCACAACGCACGTATTGGAAGCTTCCTCTAGTCGTCGTCGAAGCCATCGCCTCGGTACGAACCTTTGTTCGGGAATATAGTCTTTTGAAATCACCAGTGGACTGATATCTGATCAAGCCGGACATGCAGCCAGTAAGTTATTCTTTATGTCTTCATTCTCCCCTTTTTCGTCTCACAAGTTTCGAACACGTCAGCCGGAGAATTTCAATGCAAGCTTCGAGTCAGAATTGCTAGTAGAGCCGATTGTCTGCATACGGGTGTTCTTTTGATTTGATAATGAAGGCAAACCCTCACAATGTTGAGCTCACAGACATGCTTGGGTTTGTGTTGCGCGAGTGTTGTGGGGGATTGATGAAGACAATGAGTGCTTGTGCAAGATGTTGACCTCGAATTGCAGAATGTCAGACAATCATCTGGAACAATACGGTCGATCTTCTCATCCCATCCGAGTGGTCTCAAACGTATATCTCTACCTGTGGTGGTTCATAATCTCCTTGCTCTCCACAATTGATAGAGTTTCCGCTGATTAAAGCTTGGCGTTTCAAAAGTTGCGTCTAACCGGTGTCAGACTTCAGTAACGAATTGAAAAAACAGGACTAACACATTGCAGGACCGGGAACTAGAGAGGAAAGTATTGCTTGCCGTGTCCATTCTAGATGCGGAGTTATTGCTGAATTGTCGCCGAGGTAGAAAGCCGCGGAGATCGTATACTGAGACTAACCTGGTCAAGGGGGCATTCAATCTGCATGGGGGACAAAATCTCAAGGAAATGTTCTACACCGTGACCGCAATAAGAATCAAACATAATATTATACGCAGGGTCTCAGGCATTTCTAACATTCGGTTGGATAAATCAAGGTGCGAATTGTTTAGTAGTACGGCCAAACTAAGCTTTCGGCAAGCGGCAGCCACTGCCGAACCATTTCTGCTGATGCTTCATACTTTTCTCCCACTTGCATACCTACGATGGACAACATCCCACACATGAACCATGCCTTTTTCTACACTCGAGGGCGATTAATCAAATTTTCTTCTCTCTAATTCTCTGCAGCTTTTACGCTCCTGAGCATCCCACTCAAAAGAGCAATGATCCACAGTTCAGGGGCTTGGCTTGAAACCGGGGTGGAGCAAACGTGTCGGATTGAAACTAGAGGCCTTGCTCAGACCACTTCTCCACAAGGGACCAGCACCCTGCTACTGTTGCTGAATTCTCCCGGTAGGGCGGACTCCGTCGTATGCTGAAACGTCCTCTGACTCTCTCCTGTACTGTTTTTAGTGCGGGGTATTCTGAACTCGAAACACATTTATCCCACATCTGGCCATGAAAAGCCGCTCTCGGACTAATCTCCGTGATGGATGTGACCCCTTTCATTCTAGAACTGCCCCGGCTGTCGAGCGACATTATCCTATAAAGCCTGCTGTCAGTCGCGTGTCTTCGGCTTGATCAATACCCTCGTGCATCCTCGGCAGCCACCACCTCAAATCATCCTACTCACCCTTCCTCACAATGCTTCGTCTCGAGACCCTCGCTGCCCTCGCCGTCCTCAGCCTGGCCAACGCTCAGTCTACCGTTGGCTTCGGTCCTTACTTCAGTTTGGGTCCTACTCAGAGCTGGATCCGCGAGGCCACGACCACTCTTGTGCTCCCCGAGGTCCCCAGCCCCGTCGCGGACCGTCTCGCCTTGTGGCCCGGCATGGGCACCAGCGGCGGTGATCTGATTCAGGCGCTTGCTGTCACTTTCTCCGACCCCGATGCGTACGTCACTCGAATCGTCTGAGTTCAACGAACCACCGAGCATTATACTGACCACACCTAGCAACTGTGGTGGCACCTCCGGCCAGTGGTGCATCTGGGCCAGCACGCTCGAGGGTAAGTCATTCAGAGACGGTGATCAAAAGTGTACTAACAATGAGAAGGAACGCAGCTTGGCGGCACCCAAGTTCCGGCCAATGCCGGTGACAAGGTGACCATGGAATGTAGGTTCACCTTTCGTTGCCTGCACGATAGCTATTGACAATCTCCAGACAAGTACAACGATTCCACCGCCAAGTACGACCAGACCGTCTCCCTCAACGGCAAGGTGGTCTCGACTCTGTCGACCAGTATGTTTCTCGATCATTTGTCCCCGACTGCCAATGCTAACTTTTGCAGGCTCCGGCCAAGCCCAGGGCTGGGGCACCGCCGTCGAATGCCAGGACGACGCCTGCAAGGGCACTGCTCGCGCTCACCGTAACTTCCCTCAGCCCGTTATTTCCAATTTCCGGAAGAAATCTAACCCGGGTGCAGAGTACATCGATACCACGATCGTTCTGAACGCCGCGGACAGCACCTTCGCCGGCACCCTTGCCACCAACGAGATCACCTCCACCGGCCTCAAAACCTCCGACTCCAAGACCTTCACCGTCGAGACCATCAACGTCCAGGCCCACACCTATGACCTTTAAACGAGGCAGTGAATGGATTGTGAGAAGGATTGTATTTTTAGTATATGCTGGCGTGACTATGTCGAATATCAATTAAGCTCTGGAAGCGGTCGCAAAATCTGCGTAGATGGTATATTGTCCTGCAATGTAGGGATTGTAGAAGTCAGTAATAGAGTGGAGTTGCGACTTTCCAGAACGGTAGAGAATAACTGTCGAGCTCTTAGCCGATTGATTGGGACTGTGATCTCCTTGCTTACAGCGCAAATTCTATTAGGATATTACCAGAATCTATTTACCATAGCTTTTGCTGCTGGGTTATCTGGATCGGAGACAAGCACCTTACCCATGCTACCCCTTGTGTCAATAGTCGACTTTGAGAAGTGGACCAGATGGCGACTTTTCTCGGAGACTTGAAAGTTTGGAGAAAGTATACGGCGATGTCGGATTTTCCTGGTGGATAGTGCCCTGAACTAACCAGACATTATACAGATTTGTATCCGTTGTCAGTTGTATTTATTCCAACCAGTGTCTTTTTCAATAGCAAGAGTCCTCTCGGCGCGCTTCCGGCAATGTGCGCAAATCACAGAAAGTAGGCAAGGGGACATTCATCGTGTGTGTTATACCATGAAGAAGTTCAGCGGTCAGGATCTAAACACCGGGGATGTCAGAAGCAGCGACATATTAGATTCGAGGAGTGTCGCATTCGACCAGCCGATCGTGTTGCCGCTAAGTCGGGCGCTTACTCCATTCATGGCTGCGCGTTGAGAATGAGGGGTTGACAGTTTCAATTGACGGGTCATATGAGAGCGGCATTGCGATTGATTCCGGTTAAGACCAAGGTATACCCATGCCGTTGTCAGGACCACCACTTTGTGTGACCGCGGTTATTGGTAACCACTAGTAGGCGGATGTGACAGTATGAATGACGTGCATGAAGATTCGGGATATTGTCCTCATCAAAAATCTGATCGATTCTTTCCGTCTGGCTAGAATTCGAAGTCATATTGGGAGTGCCCATCAATAGTAGAAGAGCCAAGGTGTGCTGCTGCAGTGGATGTCATCATCGACTCGGATCCACCTATTGTGAGCTGCTATTGTTGTGAGGCAACAAGCTAAACCGAATCTAGAAAGTCCGCAAATGCCCGATCGGGAAGTCACGGGGCTTATCTTATCGCTTATCAGCTGACCATCGCTCCCCAACCTCCTCAGCTCCCTGTCTCTTCCTCTTTCTCTTCCTCTTCAGTCACTCCCTCTTTGTCAATTCACCTTATTCTTACATTGAACATTGAATTGAGCTTAATCATGAAGCTCTCTCTTCTCCCTGCCCTTCTTGGGCCGGCCGGAGCTCTTCAATTGCCCCTGTTCCAAGCTTCCCCGTCGCAGTCCGAGCTCTCTACATCGAGCAAGCAGCTCATCGACTCTGAGCTGCTGCAAGAACAAGTCAAAGCAGAGAACCTGCTCAAGAGAGCTGAGGAGCTCTACGAGATTGCAAAGCTCGGAGAGGAGGAATATCAGCACCCAACCCGTGTCATTGGCAGCAAAGGTACGCATCCTACTCATGCCCGCTGCTCGTGTGACTCACCTCCTAACCTTCGAATCGCTAGGTCACATCGGAACCTTAGATTACATATACTCCACCCTTGTCGAGCTCGGCGACTACTATACCATCACCAATCAGTCCTTTCCTGCAGTGACCGGAAATGTCTTCGAGTCGCGCCTTGTTCTCGGCCACACGGTGCCCTCCTCAGCTACCCCGATGGGGCTGACGCCTCCCACAAAAGACAGAGAGCCTGTCTACGGTCCGTTGGCGGCAGTCGCCAATCATGGATGCGAGTCATCCGACTACCCTGACAATCTTTCTGGCGCCATTGCATTCATTTCTCGGGGAACTTGTCCGTTTGGAACCAAGTCCGATCTGGCTGGCAAAGCAGGTGCGATCGCTGCAGTGGTGTACAACAACGAGAAGGGCGACCTCTCTGGAACATTGGGTACTCCCACCCCAGACCATGTTGCCACATTCGGTATCTCAGACAGCGATGCGGCACCTATCCTAGAGCAGCTGAAGAAGGGCGAGAAGGTGGATGGCATTGCTTACATTGATGGCATTGTGGAGACAATTATCACTACAAACATCATCGCTCAAACCGTCGAAGGAGACCAAAATAACTGTGTTATGGCTGGAGCCCACAGTGACAGTGTAGCCGAAGGCCCCGGTATCAATGACGACGGCTCTGGTACTCTAACTCTCCTGGAGCTGGCCACAAAACTCACCCAGTTCAGCGTCAACAACTGCGTGCGCCTTGCTTGGTGGGCTGGAGAGGAAGAAGGTCTCCTGGGTAGTGATTACTATGTGAGTCAGCTGACTCCGGAGGAGAATCGCAAAATACGCTCGTTCGGGGATTTCGACATGCTGGCTGGGCCAAATTTTGCGTATCAGGTCTACAACGCCACTAACGCCGCCAATCCGGTGGGTTCGGAGGAGCTACGTGACCTGTACGTTGATTTTTACGAAGCACACGACCTCAACTACACCTACATTCCTTTCGACGGCCGCAGCGACTACGACGCCTTTATTCGCAATGGCATTCCCGGAGGCGGTGTCGCCACCGGTGCAGAAGGTGTCAAGACTAAGGAAGAGGAAGAGATGTTTGGTGGTAAAGCTGGAGAGTGGTACGATCCCAACTACCATCAGATTGGAGATGACGTCTCGAACGTCAACCTTACAGCTTGGGAGGTTAACACCAAGGTACGTCTCTTTGCGATTGGCAGTATTTCATTATGACTGACGCACTATAGCTCGTGGCGCATTCTATCGCGACATACGCGCTGTCGTTCGAGGGCTTCCCCGAGCGCACCGATGCTGATGTCAGCACTTTCTCCCACGAGCCGCGGAAGTACCGCGGCCACCGCCTGCAGATGTAATCGACGATAGACTACAGATCTCTTTATCACTTTTGGCTAGATAGAATTTTGTCTGATGCATTATTGAGTTGCTTACTTGGTGGGATGAATAAATAATTGTTTTTTGGCAAACTATATAATTGGCACTGAAAGACATCTTTACCGACTGCAGATGCACTTACCAGTTACCCTAGGGCTTTCGGGATTGACTCAGCCACCAGCCACCACAGTATAGTGCTCACAAGCGGAATTCCTACTCTTGCAAGACGGACGCAGATGATGGATGACTTGAGCTATGTAAGACTATTTGAGGAATTTGCTACAGAGCAGCGAGGCGGACAGTGAGCGGCCTCGGCAACGAGGTCTCAGGATCTCTGTCAACTCTCAAGAAGAGTCACCAAGCAACCCACAGCGGCAACCCAGGCCAGAGATCTGTCCCCATCCCCGCCATCTCCCCCGCATCAAACAACCCAAGCTCCCCGACCTCCTGCGTCAAGAAGTCTTGCATGAACGGCTGATCCAGCACCATGTACGCTGACGCCGCCGCTGCGCCCGCAGCATCGAACGGACCCGTACTCGGGAGATAATCAGCCTGTTCATCAGATGAGAGGACCGCAGGAAATGGGGAATGTGCCGGAGAAGCGACGGACAGCGACAAACCCTGCTGTTTCGCCACCCGCGATGCAAATCGTCCACTCCGCAAACAGTGCTGCGCCCGCACAAGATGATGGAACAGGTCATCTGCGACCAGGCTGCCGCTCGCTATGAGGGAGCTCAGCATCTCGATGGCGGTCTCCACGGAAGCGAGATCCTCCGCTGTGCCGCCTGGAAGCAGACTTGAAATGAGCAGGATCAGGGCGGCGGTGAAGATGTACTGCGCGAAGGCGTAGCCGTAGGTCGAGGAGGCGCCGTTCGTCCATTCATTCGTGCACAGCGTCAGAGTATGGCGGGCGGAATTAATGCATGCGTCTTTAAGAGCGGCGAGGGTTGCGGGGATGGCGGGTTGTTCTGGGGCTGGTGTTGGGGAAAGGTGGTCGAGGAGGATGAGGAGGATTGGGCGGATGGCGAGGATGACGCACTTGACGGATTAGCTTTCGCTCTACAGAAGGGGAGGTTGAGTTTATTGACCTACGTAATTAAATTGGAGATGGACGAGAATGGTGCACTTGGGATTATGCCTGGTGGTTTGGAGGTGCAGGTGGTCGGGTAGGGACTGCATCCACTCCTGCAGGTCAAGGAGGATCCTTTGCTCCCGCTGGAAGAATGTCTCGGTGAAGTTGCTGCGGCTGTAGATCGTGCGCATGATCGTGCTGGAGATTCGGGCGAGCTTGATAAACGCGACTTGGTATGAGCTGCCAAGGAACTCGTCGTGGTAGATCTTGGCGTCGAGGTTTGAGGGCAGATTGACGTGGATGGCTTCATCGTTGATCTGCACTGGCAGGCCTAGCTTCAGGCTCCAGGACCGATCGAAGACATAAATTGTCCACCACAGACGGACGCGATGTTCTCGCGCAATTGGATCGGGGCATTGGGTGTCCGGGATGTTGTAATTGAGACCGACGAGGAGTGCGAAGCGCATCGCGTTGCCGACCATGAGATAGGCGGAGTGCTGTCGGTTGAGGGACTGGCTGTAGAGGGCCTGGAAGAGTCAGTATATGATGACAGCATCTCCTTAGAGGCGAGTTTACCAGGATGAGAAGAGCCTCGATGTAGATGATGGTGGGTCGCTCCGGTAGCACGGGAATCAAGCTGATGGCGCGAGCATAGTAGGCCATCCCTGGCACTTTGGCCTTTTCTCCTCCATCATTGAGGAATGAGTAGATTTCTCCCAAGGCGAAGAGAGCAAAGTACTTGCACAGGAAGATCGGATCATTGAAGAGGCCTTGCTCGTAAATGTATTGAAGGTGGTCGAGGGTGGATTTTCGCAAGGCGAGATGAAAGGGTGGGTTTGCGTGTCCCAGCGCGGTGTTGACCAGCAACCGAGCACGGGTCAAACTGGGCCATTGGATTCCAGAATGGGCCACTTGGGCGAGGGTTGACTCCTCCACATATCGCGTGCGGGGAATATGCGGCACTGCGGTTTTGTTGCCGTCGAGACACTGGCACAGACGCGTGGCAAACCCTGTACATGCTGCTTCGCTGACATAGATAGGGAGTAGCAGCCCCTCATGGGCATGAAACCATGGCCGGTCTTCCAGCAGCGGATTCCGAGTCTTCATGTCGCTTCCCTCTGTTGAGGAAAAAGTGTGCTGGGTTATGGTGGGGAAGACATTGCTTTGCGACCTCAGTCTGTGCTGACGCAGCTCGTCACTGTCTCGAATCAACTGCTCCAGATAACTGGTAGCAGGTCAGCGCGGGGCTGTTCTGCATCGGCAACAGCTGCCTACTAACCTTTCGTCAATGCGGACTTTTCGGTCGCGGACTACATAACTGCATTCGTGCCCACATCCCGCCATGTGGCATCGCGAGCAGGGTCTCCCGCCCGAGCATTTGACTTTTTGCGCATGGCATCTCTGGCATCTGGTTCTTGGTGTGTTTAGAATGGAGTGATCGACTGGAGAGGGGCAAACTCACGCTACAGGTCTTTTGGTTCCTAAGGAGTTCCGCCATGGCTGCAGTGGCCCCTGGAATTTCTGAGCCGAGTTACCGGCCTGCATGACATGATCGTCTAACAGAGGCCTGGCAAAGATTCTGCTTTCCACGCACTCCACCAGTTGCGGAGATTCCTCAAGGGGAAAAGTTTTCGATCGGCCAGATTTACGCCCGCCGAAGCTGGGTCTTTCCGATTGGTTTTGTAGAGGGAGAGAGAATCCGCTTGTGCTCGGTAATCTCATATGACTGGCTATAGCACAAGATGGCTGGGTCTTTTTCTCCAGGTTTGGTCTAGCGTGCGGTCAACCTTGAAGTGGCCGAAATGCCCCACGAGGCCTGCAGCACCGGGAGTCACATAAATTCCAATCTATACCTCCTTGACGATCTCACTTCGGTTGTGCCGTCAACTTCCCCTATATTTCCTTATTCCAACGACCCTCTTCTCACTTCGAGCATACCTTCGTCTTATAATCGTCTATCCACCGAGCTACCTATCACCACACCCAATGACCTCAACAGCCACCAACGCATACACCCTCCGCCACCACCGCCCCGGTGACATGGGCTGGATCGTCCACCGGCACGGCGCGCTCTACGCCCAAGAATACGGCTGGAACGAGCGCTTCGAGGCCCTTGTCGCCAGCGTCACCGTCGACTTCATCGAGAACTACGACCCCGCCCGCGAACGCTGCTGGATCGCCGAACGAGACGGTCAATTCCTCGGCTGCGTCATGCTGGTCAACGACCAAAGCTCCGATGACAATGCCGCCAAGCTCCGCTTGCTGCTGGTAGAACCCAGCGCGCGGGGGCTGGGCCTCGGACTAGCACTAATCCAGCAATGCACGGAGTTTGCGCGCGAAGCTGGGTATACGCGCATTCGGCTGTGGACGAATAGTGTTCTTGTGTCGGCGCGGCGGCTGTATGAGAAGGAGGGGTATCGGCTCGTCTCGACGGAGGAGGATGAGAAGTTGGGCTTCAGGTCGACGGGGGAGTTTTGGGAGTTGCTGCTCTAAGTCTTTTGGTGGGATAGATTGCGTTGGCATTGCGGTACTTCTTCGTCTACTTTTAGCCATAACAGAAACCAAATTCCTGAGATTGGTAGCATGATTTACTTAACAATCAGTCAACAGTTGACCCCTACATATATCACAAACTGATACATTACGGCCCTAATGCCTCGACTGAACTGCTCATAGAGATAGCTTTCGCAGGCTCGTGTGCAAACATAGGCTTAGAAATTTTCTCGAGTGCATGCTCGCTTTACCTGAAGTGCAGTCAATAGAATCAATCTTCACTGTCATCAGAGAGCAAAGACTTCTTAAGTGCTGCGCGTTGCATCAGTCTACTTCGAAGCTCTCGTCGACGCATTATACGTTACTAGATATGCTGATTTCTACCATGTATCTTCCCAAATGCGCCGCGCCGCAATCCAACGCAACAAATACTATTATGCCCATGAAAAGAGTATATGAAAAGAGTATACAATGGTCACTATATCAACCAGCAATTTCTATCCCTACAGCATATCTCACATGGTGTTTAGTAGCAAAGGTTGCCCGTTAGCTTGATTCTTCCGGTACCTTGAATATAGAATAGACGAATCTTATTGTTAGGTAGCTATATATTGAATATTTGTCCATCTAGTAGAAAGCTGGCGCATGGTCAGGTCTGACCCATTTGAACTGTAATACATTGAATGATGGGATTTACTGAGACTGTGTATTCATCCCATGTAGAATGCTGGCCCTTGCTGAGAATTGTTCACCTGAGCTCTATACATTGTATCACGTGGCTTTACAATTGTATTGAATGAGACCATATCCGGTCAATTCACGGCTACTACTTTGGCCGTCATTGAATACATCATCCCAAGTCTTGAAGCCCTGTCTATACAAAACCTCTTCCAGTCTCTCCTCCATCTCCTCTTCCTCTTCCAACTCTTCTTCCCTCCTGGGCTTCCTCTCCACTCCCACTCTCAATTCCAGTTCTGAATACTCTTCCACTTCCATCTCTCTTCCAATCTTTGCCTTCTATCAAACATACATGACTATTCTTAGAGCTTGTTCAAGACCTTCGTCGTTGGTTTAGTGTACTTTTAATACATATAAATATTTTTCCATCATAGAGTTCACATTTCTTTTACCATGAAGCTTTCGGAGATGACCTAAATAGTCATTATGACTTTGTCAGTTCAGCTATCTTGGTTGGAGTAAGTTCTCTTCCCTTCAGCATCATGCCCCTTTCCCCTCCAGTCTATCTATTTGGCCTTTGCGGTATGATACCAGTGCTGTGTAATATACTGACTGATATTAGAAACCACTTGCAGCCTATGCGATGCCGCATAAGGGCGAACAATCAGCGCAAAGCTCCGTCTTCTGCTGAAAGGGTCTTTGAATTTGGCTATTTCAGCACTTGACATCTCGCGAGCATTACTCGTGCATTCGTCTCTGTTCGCCGTTCATGCTGCCAATCCTGTGGTCGGAATACAAAGAACAAGCAAATCATGATATTCTTCGATCTTAAAGACGTTGACACCAACCAACCTTCGGTCTAAGACAAGCTCTCTGCTGTCCGCTGTGTCATTGGCCCCAAAATTGAATACGAACATATCATGAAGAGCAAGTATTTCGTATATTTGGGGAATGCTCATGGGGAAATGCTATTGCTCGGTGATGTCGATAGCGGCTTTTACAAATCGCCGCCATCAGCACCACAACTAACGTGTCTGCAAGTCATTCTATTCAATCACAATTGGCTATGGGCTAATGTTGAATGCATTTAATACAGCCTGACAATGATCACCAACTCTTTTACAAAAGCTGCAGCCACTGGGGGTAACCAGTCCCAGGACGGGGCTGGTCCCGTGGTGGACAGCTTGTTTTGGAGCGCGGACTCCGATCCTCCCACCAGGCCATACAAATATAGATGTGGGGTTCCTAGCTGTCAGGCGTGTGCAAGACTCGCCACCCACCCGCAAAACACCGGACAAAAGTGATGATACGGTGACCTCGGGGAACGGGTCGACCACGACACCACTGAATAGACGCCCACCCCCCTCGTTCCCGGGTCAATAAGCGTACCAATAAGGCAAAGCTTACCACGGGAAAGACCTAGCGACTGGAGAGAGGTCTCCAAAAGATTGATAAGTTGTTTCAGATTGAGACACGCGCTCCACCCGCTGCTCAGCCTCGTGCTGTTCTGACTGGCCGCAACAAGGTAATCAACCAAGCTATTGAGAGATCTGCAGGTACAAGCGAGAGACCCCGAGCCAGCCCTACGTGAGATCATGGTAAGAGCGAATCAATGCATGTGCCGCGAGATCCTTTCTACCCTGAAGACCAGGAAAATTGGAATTGGGGGGGCATGATCCCCAGCATGCCACGTCCACGATCCAAATACGCTGAATTGTGCGTCTTGATTGGATGAAGCAAGATGTATTTGAGACACAGGTGATATGTGGCGAATGACAAAGAAGAGTTTTTCGATTGGTCCTCTTCGCCATCAAGGCCTGGAAGACGAGAGGCGGAAGAGGGATGTGAGTCCCTTTACACCCAGAGACGCGTACCCGCCGAGGTCGACACCGAGCATTTCGCCGATGTGTCGAGTGACGGGAAGTTGAGTGAGCTCGATAGTGACCAGTTTGACTCGGAATTCGAGAACGACGAAGTCGTCGACCCGGAGTATGAGAGGCCCGAGGGAGATGACAATGAAGGGGAAGACATTGAGGAGGAAGAGGATATTGCAAGTGAGCTGCTGGACACCGAAGAGATTCCCCCCCCCGGTCATCCCAATGAGTCCCATGAGAATTATGTCGTTCGAGTGCTTAATCTAGAACCGGATAATATCGAAGCACAACAGATCATATTTAGATACCGACTCGAGGGCATTATTAGACATATCTGGACTCTAGCACGCTACTAGACCCCGAACGAAGATGTGGCCAACAACTGCCTATTCAACCAAGAAATGTGGTCTACCTTAGCTGACACATCGGACGAGAAGATCAACGAAGTGATTAACAAGATTGAACGGGCAATCATTCCAGCGATACGTACAATATTTGGTGGTACAGAACTAGCTCGAAATGAAGTGCTTCTTCTGCCAATTGTTATAAAGAAGGATCAGCTCAAAGGAGTTTATCTGGACCTTGTCACGAATACCCAGGTTCAGGAAGACAATGGCCTTTACATTGGGTCTGCACTGTCAGCTCCGAAGAAGTGGGTGGATAAAAAAGGGCACACGCACACGCGGCCAGGAGGCGTTCATAAGCGAATATCGTCACACCGAGGTTTGATTCGAGCTGGAAATGAGAAGGCTAAACATGATATGTATATTCGTGCGAGACCTGACCGGACACCCAAACTTTCGGCTTATTACCCAGTTTCCAAAATCCGTGGATCGGGAAATAAACATTGACGATGCGGATTGGATGATAATTTTACTCGAGAACACCGCGATTGTGTTGGCGGGAAGTTTTGAACCTCCCTACGTTCACCCGAGAGTGATTTCCATGGCCCTAGTATTGAGAGGTTTGTTGCTGCTCTAGGGAATTTACCATCTCAAGTGCATTTGAGCCTCTTAACAGGGCAGTACCTATCTCTCAGCCTCTACGCGAACACCGTCGGGCAACGCATTGTGCAAACTGTCGGCGGCCGCTACGTATGTGGAAAATCTTGCCGCACTCACTACCAGGGCATATATTCGAAAGGATATGCGGCAGCTGTGACTATCGATACAAGAAGAATGGGTGCCTTCCTCCCTCAGATTTCCGAGAGCAAGAAGCGGAGGCAAAACGCATTGACAAGGAAGCGAGGTCCAAATGTGTCAATTGTGGACACGAATTCACTTCGCGGTCCTTCGTAGCACACCCCGAAGAGGGTCACAAAGGTGATTATACTTGCCTAGGATGCATGGGTCAATATAGTCGAAAGAATGAACTGCCGCCACCGAATTGGCGGACCGACGGATCATTTGTGTTGCCCAAGTTTAAGCCCAAGGTCGACAGACGTTGTTCCAGATGTGGCGAGGCAATCCTGGGGAGTGCTCAGATCTACTGGAACCCACTCGAGCCAGATGAGAAGTCCGAGATGTGGTGCAAAAGCTGTGACCAGTACTAGTATAATCACAGCTCAGGCAAAATGGTTGCCCAGCAGAAAAAAGCGAAAGTAAGTCAAATGAAGCAAGAGACAACCGCGTGTGTGCATTGTCTATTTCCGATGATTGGATCCATGATCCGCGGACTTGCTTAAGCAGGTTCGAGCCATTGTCGAAACCGCATGGAGTTTGGAGTTGCAAAGCCTCTCATCACATAACATCTGTTCGGCTTCCATGATCTCGAATATCCTGTTAGATGGCGGGACAGGGTGTTAGCTTGGTTTTTGAGATTTAGGAGGAGGGGGGTTAAGGGGGAAGGGTGCCCGGGGGACTTTCGCGGCGAGAACTTTCGGGCAAGGGAAGGGCCCGGGCCAAATGCGACAGGTGATCTTCGGGTTTCTATTCCATACCATACGTGCATAGAGCAAAGTGTACAGGCACATGCATTGTTATATTGTAGATAATAAATCAAAGATAAATGACATCGCCAGATGCTCCTGACCTGGGATACCTCGATCCTTGCCGTGCACATTTAATCTGTCCTATATATACAGGGAAGTTCGTCTCCGAGAGTGGTGATGTACAATGAGTGACCGTCGATCAGAACGCACACTCTGTGAAAAAGGTCACCAACTCGGTGGTGTAGATGGTGGAATACAGCGTTTCAATCTCATCCGGCGCACTGGATGGTGCGGGTGCAGCGCTGGTGAGAGGGGAGATGATGGCGGGGGATCTGGTGCTGACAATAGATGACGGGGTCGCCAAGGGGCTCCCAGATGAATGTGGAAGAGTGGCGGGAGCTGAGGAGCTTGAAAGCGCTGATGTGGGTAGTGAGCGAACCGGAGAACTTGATGAAGAGGGTATGAGATGCGTCGAAGAGGATGGTGTGGAAGTTGGGGTGGGTGTCGGAGTGGGAGTAGGAGTGATGGTCGAAACAATCAAGGATGTATACTCGGTAGTCGAGGTGCGCGTCAAAGTCTCCGGAACATACGAGGTCACTCGCGAGGTACAGGGATTGAAAAGAAAGAGCTCGGCGGCCAAAACACTGCTCGCGGCTGGCACCAATTCCAGCGACCCGGCGAGGATGCGGCAAGTTTCGCTGTCGTCCCAGTTGACGCCCGCGCAGTTGCTGTAGTGGGTGCAAACATCGGCGCATTGGGAGACGCTGACCCAGGAGTAGGTCATCTTGGTGGTACTGGCACTGTAGGCGGAGGTAGTGCAAGTGGCGGACCAGTAATTCCCTGCATCAAACCAGATGGCATCGGCACATCCCGTCGGAGCGACCGTACCCACGCTGCAGGTGCTGGTGATGGAGACACTCGGGATGGAGGTGGTGATAGTCGTTGTCGCGGTGCTAGTATAGCTCGAAGTGAAGGTCACGACTGATGGGCTGGCTCCACTCAGCGGCAGTGCAGCGAGGAGAACCCAGGTCGGGCTCCAGAGTCGAACCATCTTGCGAGGGGACGATCGTCAGTGAGATGAAGAAAACCGATCATTCGCCTTCAATCCCTTGCCAAAGGGGGGAACCCAGGAGATCAAATAGTTCATCAGGTACGAGCCACTGTGGACCCTTTTTTCAAATACTGTCCGCACTCCTTCCAGTTGACCAATGGGGCGGCTTGATTTCAGTCAACCTGTCGGCTGGTTTGACCGGAATTCTCTGGCAATCCATAAACCTAGTCGGTTCTAGTCAGGAGAAGTGTGACAAAAAAGAGAAACTAACCGAGCGATTCATCTAGTTCTCCACGCAGTGGTTTCCCAGGTTGCATGCAGGGTCCAAGTACCAGCTGAAAGTTGGGCCCGACCGGCCGTCTGTGGATCGGTTCAGATTGTTGCCACAGTCTGGGTAAAGTGTGGAGTCTTTCTTCTTCTGTTATAGCTCCGTCTCTCCTCGCATTTACACTATCTCACTTGCCATGAAGCCTGGCCACGTGATGCCGTGGCCGTTCACTTTCCACCAAGTCAGCTAGTTTCCCCAATCAACAACAACAACAACAACAACAACAACAACAACAACAACAATAACAAGATTGACAAATCGAGTTCAAAACAGTCTCTTCTATCTCCTTAATCTGCAGGATGAGCCCTGCTGTTTGTGCAGAGTTCTCCGTTCCAAGAATCACGTACAGGAAAGGCCTGTCGACATATCATTCGCTGCCTGTCTGACTATGCTGACCATTGCGATGCTAAATACACAGATCGAATCAGCTTCATCCGCTCCACATACTACGCGACCGCGATGAAAAAGTTTGTCTCGCCCTCTTTCGCATCAACCTGGCTCTTTTTCACCAAGTTATCCCCCACCAACAATCGCAGCTTCTCCGCTGTGGCAGGGCTGTCGAGCACCAGTGCTTCCCGCACGCCATTCTGCTCACGGGCACTACGCAATGCGTCGCGGAGTGCAAACAGTACGGTCGACCCCAGGAAGAGAGGCGGCTCTCCAATCCCCTTACTTGACTGAATCGACCGCAGGTGGGACCACGACACACCCTGCAAGAAACTCACATTGAACTCCTGCGGGATGTCGCTGAAGCCAGGGATCTTGTACGTCCCAGGACCTCGCGTCGCCAGCTGCCCACCGCGGGTCCACAAACTCTCTTCCATTGTGAAAAGGCCTTGGCCCTGCACGAACGCCCCCTCGATTTGCCCATAGTCGATGGCCGGATTGATCGAGCGTCCGACATCCATTTTGATATCCGTCCGCAGCACCGTGTGATCGCCCGTTAGTAAATCCAACTCGACTTCAGTGCATGCTACTCCCTGCGTGAAATAGTAGTACATTGGCTTCACCGTTGTAACATCATAGTTTCCCCACTGATAGCCGATTTTAGGCATTTTCCAAAATCCGCTGGCCGCTAAGTTGACTCGATCACGATACGCTGCGTGCGCCATCTGGGCCATTGTCGCGTCGGGACCAAATCGCTCCCGGTACGGCTTCAGCCGTTCGTTCAACTGGTCACAGGCATCTTGAATCGCCATGCCGTTCAGATCGCTGCCCGAGGACGCGGCTGTTGGTGAGGCATTGGCCGTCTGATAAGACGAGGTATCTTGCGTAAAGACACTTTCAAACGGGACCCCAAGAGCCTGCGCCGCCACCTGCGCCATTTTCGTATACAGGCCTTGACCCATTTCCGTCCCACCATGGTTAAGCAGCACTGATCCATCCGTATAGATCTTGACTGATGCGGCAGCCTGATTCAGGTGTAAAGCTGTGGCGAACGATATCCCGAACTTGCTCGGAATCAAGCAGATACCCCGTTTGCGCCAGCGATGTGTGGCATTGAACTTTGCGATTTGCTCTCTCCGCTCATCGTATCTGGCCTCCTTTCGCACTTGTTCTAGAAGCATAGGCACATGCCAATCTTCATCAATCTGCTGCAGAAAGGGTGTACGCTGGCCGATAGCGTACAAATTACGTCTTCGCAGCTCATCCACGGAGATTTTCAGCCCCTCGGCGATCGCGTTCATGATTGTCTCGGTGAAGAACATGCTCTGAGGGGCACCAAACCCTCGGAAAGCCGTGTTGCTATGGGTATTGGTTCGACACACCCATCCCCGGATATGCACATTTGGGATCTCATAACAATTGTCCAAATGCGTACAGCAGCGGTCCATTACCGCCCCACTCATGTCAGTGGACCAACCTGCGTTGTTGTAACAGTCGGCATATAACGCGACAAGCTTTCCTTCATTGGTGACACCAACCTTCCAGCGACATTGAACGGGGTGTCGCTGTCCAGTAGTCATCATGTCTTCATCTCGGGGAAGCATTGCACGCACCGGTCGGCGGGCTTTCTTGGCTGCGATGGCTACGAGGCAAGCTAGCTGCACGCTTCTTGATTCTTTTCCACCGAAAGCGCCGCCCATTCGTTTGACTCGTGCATTGATTCGGTTAGCAGGGACTCCTGTTACTTGACTGACAAAATCTTGAGTTTCCATACTACAAGAATGTTAGCATGCTCATCGGACATTTTGCAGAACGGTGTGTGGGCTGGCCAACATACGTATTCTGCGTTGACGACCAGATCTCCATCCCACCATCCTCTGTGCTCGGGATTGCCATTGCAGCATTCGTCTCGAGATAGAAATGCTCCTGTCCTCCTATCCGTGTTACACCCGAAAAGGTTCTGTCGCATCCGCGGAATACTTCGTCCATTTTCTCCGGTGGCGCACCCTTTCTCAGTTCTTTGCCATGTGGGAAAAAGCTCCTTGCTGCGATCGCTTCATCAATCGTGAGAATCGCTGGTAGATCTTCGTATTCGACCTTCACAGCTTTCGCAGCGGCCTGAGCCTGGATAGCCGTCTCGGCATACACCATCCCGATCGGCTGGCCGTGCGACAGTACCTCATTGATCGCAAAGAAAGGTTCATCGTGCACCACTGATCCCCATAGATTCTTTTCGATCGGAATGCTAGTGTGATCGATGTAACCAGTTGCCAGTCCTGGCGCGAGGGCGGGAGCCCAATCAATAGAAACGAGTTTGGCGTGCGCACGTTGCGACAGGACGAGGGCTCCAAATAATTGCCGGTGCTGGGGTGGCATGTCATCGAGGTATTCTGCCTCACCGGTGGTATGTTTGAGCCCGGAGAGGTGAGGGAGTGCCTTTCCCACCACCCGCTGCTCATGCGGATTGATATCGTCCCGAGCACCGTAAGAGATCTTGCGGTGGATTTCATCTGTCAGGTCGGGGAGAATAGAAGCGGCGAGTTGATATTCTGCGATAATCTCGTGCCAGAAGCGGAAGAAGAAGGAAACAGCCAGCGTGCGACGGTAAGTTGCCATCCCACCCGGAACGCTGAATGAGAGATCAAAGTCTGCGAGTAGTGCATCCACCGTGGCGTCAAGAATGGCCTGTGTTCCCCATTTCTTGCCTTTGAGGGTGGCACTGGCTCTGTGGGCGACCACGGTTGTCGGTGCCATTCCTCCGTACGCGAGAGAAGCATCTTCGACGGTGTTGTCGCTTGCCAAACGGACGCGGAAGGCGGCAGTCACGATGGCGATGTCATCATCTTTTCGCTTGGCTTGCTTGTATGATTTCGTGATCTCGCGACATGCCGAAGAAGGCAATGGAACGCGGATTTCAGTGATTAGGCTGCCCTTTGGGAGGGCAGTCTTACGATAACCCAGGAACATTTTCTCCATGGCCAGGGCTTGCTCTTCCTGGTGGGTGCGCACAACAACTGTGGCGTTCACTGCGAGAAGGAGCGGGTTCATGTCTGAGATGGGCGAGGCCGTGGCAATGTTTCCCGCCAGCGAGGCTGCGTTGCGGATCTGTCGCCCAGCAAAGTACCGCAGCACCTTAGCCATGGCCGATAGTACTGAGCCGGAAGAACCCAGGATCGGAGCGAGGCGCTGGCATTCTTCCTCCACATCAGTGAGAGAAGCATTCCCACCGATTATCAGCTCCTTCGCACCACTGTCGTGCTCAACCAGGTTGATTTGAGCTAACTCTTCTATATCCCCGATAAAGATCGAAACCTCGACCGCAAGATTCTTGAAGCGAACGTCGATTTGAACCTCGGAAGCACCCCCGACTAGCGTGGCGGATGGAAAGCGCGCCAAGAGATCCAGGGTCTGCCCAAGGGTGACCGGACGAAGCCATATTCTCCGATCGTCTGCATAATATAGCAACTGAGGCGCAAATTTCGCCAGACCAGGAGGGTAGATCAGCTCCGCATTTGGCACATACGGAATGAAGTCAAATTGCGGGATCCCTGGGGTTTTCTCCTCTGGCGTGGTCAACGGAGACGAATTGGCCTTATCCGAGCTCGATGAACATGAAGAAGATGAAGGGCTATCGCGACAGCAACCGCCAGGTCGACCGCATGATTGGGCCGGAAGTATCGGCAAATCGACGGTTTCGTCCGTTCTGTCCGTGGTAGGGGTAGCCACAGACTCCAGACGCGCCTGGAGGTCCTCACGAACAAATGTCTTGGCCGCCTGAAGAATTGGTTTGTATCCAGTACACCGACACAGGTTGCCATCGAGATGGCCTTTCCTTTCAATGTCATCTTCGGAGAGCTGGAAGGTATCGGTCTGCGGGTCGTATGCGTTGCGGATAACAGCATACAGCGACATAACGATGCCGGGGGTACAGAACCCGCACCTGCAATGATTAGGTCATGGCTAAACAAATGCGGAAACAGCCTTACTGGGAGCCATGGAGCTTCGCCAGACGTTCTTGTAGAGGGTGCGGGTGATCAACATTTCCTAAACCCTCGACGGTAATAACATGCTTCCCTACCACTGCAACATTCCAGGGAACGATCAGTACAAACCATGGTCGACACTCAAGCTGGAAAGTACCCACCTCCGACCAGCGGATACAGACAGGCATTTACTGCTCTGTGCACTAGTTGTCGACTGCGAGGATGTCGTGTCTGCAACACCACTGTGCAGGCACCACAGCCGCCCTCGCCACAGCCCAGCTTCGTTCCAGTGAGTCCATCCTGGGCTCGGATGAAGTCCAACAACGTCCACTGAGGATTGGGGTCGCGGAGAGCGATCTGCGTCCCGTTCAGATAGAAGATAAGAGTGGATGTGGCATTTGAGGAGACGAGGTAATCAGAAAGGGGATGAGACATATTCATGATTGCATGAGAATCATATTCAACAACAGCCCACAAAATTAGAAATGAAGCTGGGGAGGACAGAGGGGAGAGAAGAAAAGCAGCTGTCCTACACGTGATGCTGCGAGCTGGCCCCAATCAAACAACGCAAAATACGAAGCAAGAATGCCCAAAGACA